GTCTAACAATGAATGATTGATGATTTCAAATGTGCAAAATTAAATTTAGTCACTCTTGTTTTTCAGGTAGTTTAAAATTGAGAAACACGTTGTTTTTTTAGACAGATTAGAAAACGCTTGGCAAATTTTTTAAAAGGTTTTTGAATAATTTTCATTGCACATTCAAATCATCAATCAATTATTGTCAGACCCCCATTAGAAACCTGGAAGCACTGAAAGACGGCCGTTTCGTCCTGGTATGGGTCTACTCATCAGCTGTGTGCATCCAAATTGTTTTTGTTATAAATTGACAATATCAGTTTGGATATTATTAGAAATGATGGAGCAAGAAACAGCTGTTCCCTTCTAGTTTGGTACTACATTGTAATGGGAACATACGAGACTTCATGGGAAGTAAGTGACAAAATCCCCATGTTGTCAAATGAATAAGCCAATAGTAAGTAGTTTCCTTACTTTTAGCATCGACCATTGTGGTTAGAACTCAAAAGAGACGTTAATTCAAAACTTATTGTTCCGTTTATTCCAAATTTCAATCATCCAACGATATAAAATCAACATTCTTTAAGTTGTGATAAAATCTGTCTCAGTTCGAAAAAATACTTGGCATTTACCGACTTATTACATCAAATGATAGTCTTTTGACTGTAGCGCTCTTTATTACAATCACTATAAATAAAGTTGTAAATACTGATCTGCCACTTCATCGCAGTATAAGATTCTTAAAGAGTAAACATACACAACCCTGCCACCTGGATTTGAATTCAAGACCTTCAGTCTCGCTCGGAAAACTTTAATCTCTGGATCATTGAGTCTCTACAAAATTGTGTTAATGCCTAACCTCAATCAATCCTGAATACTGAGTGGCTATCTTCCAATGACTACGATGGGTAACTGCCTCACATTCGATATAATTTAACTCCACTGTTCATAACTTCTCACTAAAACTCTGTAAACTTCCTTTTGAAACTAGTCAGTGGTGAGAATAATCTTCACAATCCTACACTAACTTGTTTATTTATTCTATCTAAAGACAATTTACATCACCTAATAACATTAGTGAGATTGCTATTTAAAAAACCAGTGAGCATCAGAATAATGCTTCCCAATATGTGATCTATGAACAGTCCACTTACCTTAATGAATTAAACTCCTGAGTTCTATCGCTGACAGGGCTGTCAGCACAAATTGTTTATAAGATAAGTACTAAGACATTAAAGCTACGAAGCGTTATCTAGTTCATAAATGTTATTTAACCAAAGTCCTTGATAGAATATACCTTTAAAATGAATAACCTGATATTTTAAAACTACAAGAGAAATATATTTCAAGTTAGTCTTCTTGAAAAATTGCTACACTTTATTAACACTGTTTACAATCTCAGACCTATCATTCAATAAAGATGTATGTTATATCGTTCATTTTTAATTTTAAAACCACCTCATATCGTTTAACAAAAAATTGAAACCCTTGAATTTGAACAAACAACCGTTCAATAGAATAAATGTTTTTCTATTTCTACTGGATATTGAGGTATCATCATACAAACCGTAAACAAATTTTAAAAAAAACATGTCTATACCTTTATTTTTCGTCATTTATCTAGTTTATTTACGAAAATATCATCATCCAATCGGACTATATGGAGTATGGTATAGTAGTGTAATGGGAGGTATTACTGATACACATCTTATAACTGAGCGGCTATATATATATATATATATATATATATATATATATATATATAATGCGAAATAGCCATTCTCTCTATATATGAGTGACTTATTTAGAAAAAAAAGGTGGATTAAATTTTAGTTTATTGAAATTCCGCTTAAACTTGATGATACAAACAACGAAAAAAATTCCGTTTATATATTTGGTTTCTTTAATTTCGGAAATTGTACTGCAGCGTTACACTATGAAAAGTACAATAGTTATTCAAAAACGCTAAATATTTGCAATGAATACTTGAAATTTGGCAAGTGAATAGTGAATTACCATAAATTGCGGAAGTCTAAAAACCTTCGTTACACTACTATGCATCAATCATTTTGAATACCGGTTCTTTTTACTAGTTACAAGAAATACACCATTCATTTTTCACAACGGAACGCATTGGGTATGTGTACATTTAAAGACTCCTGATAAAAAATAAACACACTAAACCAATCAATGTCCCGCTAAAGTGATCGAAAATAGAGTTCAATATACTGAAGACCTTCAATTAACCAATCAAAATCAAGATAACGCCTGATGGATTGTGTGTGAAATTAATGATTAGATAACTCGTATGTTATAAATGACGAAGTTAAAATAGACAAATGATCGGTCCTCAAAATGCTAGAAATCAATAAGAATTTCTATTACGCAAAAAAAGTGACTTGAAGATGATGCTTAAGCTAAACGGAAAAAAATTTATTTGCTCTTAAAGCACATTGTATGTTAATAAAAAGATGACAAAACATTATTATCAGAACTGATGTTGTTTCGTGAAAATACATAAACCCGAATGAGAATAGAACAGCTTGACTGTTAATACCTAATCGGGACTGTTTTTACAATACAGCTTGAGTCAGTTGTTGATAAAACTCTAGGAAGTATTAACTCCAAATCATAGCCATATGTGTAGAGTAAATCACACCCTAATGCTGTTCTCTGTTAATTATTTCATCATTAGTCAGTGTTTCCTGATTGGTGAATAAATCTCTCAAGGTCGTCAATAGATTATACTTTAATCGTAAATGGATAGTTTGTCATTAAAACTTTAATTGTGCTTATCAATTCATTCATAAGAATATAAGCGCGAAACGTATGAGATTGGAAAACAATATACATTTTTGAAAAAATCTGTTACTCATAAGTACCAGTGTGTTGATAATTAATCGATACCAATGAACACGGTTTTTAGACTGATAGAGATCAAACTGAACAAAAGAGTATAACTTTCTTCTGTTAAGCTGAAGCAACTGTTTCTAAATTCAGTCGATTGTCAGTTTACGAGTGTGGTAACTTATTTACTTAAATACAAAGTATCCTTTATGAATATAAACAAGCAACCTTATTAGCAACGGCACAATCATTAGTTTTCACTGTAATTTCTTTAAGCCTAGGGTAATGTGACAATTTCCTACCCTTTCTTATTCTTTTGATATTATGTTAATTTACTCTCTCTCTTCTTCATTTAAAATTATCGCCTGATGTCTATTTCAACGTCTATTGACCTTTTATAAATCTTCATATAAAATGCCTTGATAAAATAAATATGTTTTCAGTTACAGCTTTGGAGATTTGTGTTTTTTACACATCCGAAATCATCAATCAATAGTTGTTAGACCACCAGTAGAAACCTGGAACCAATGGACGACGGCCATTTCGTCCAGGTATGGGACTCATCAGTGGCAGTGCTCATTCACGACTCCTGCATCTCGCAGGATTCGAACCCGGGACCTTCGGTATTGTGCTCGATCGCCTAACCATTGGGTCGACATCCAACGGTGTTAATGTCTAACTCTGATCGATTTTGAGATTTCGCGCGACCTCACCCATTTGTCTTCGGTAGTTACTGCCTGCACACGACAGGGTTGAACTCCATTAGTCATGTCTTCTCACTAGAACTCCGAGAATTTCCCCCCAAAACTAGTCACTATTGAGCACTGTTACGACGAAACGGCCGCCCAGTGCTTCCAGGTTTCTAATGGTGGTCTAAAAATGATTGATCGATGATTTCAAACGAGTAAATAAATATGTGTGACCATATTATTTGAAATGTATCGCTCAATCAACTCTACGTCTTCTCACTGTTTTTATCAAAATTGATGTAAGGGACTAACTGTTTTAATTTCACTCTGTTTAATAAATCTTTTAATACGGCAAGAACTGAAAACTGTTGACAAGGAAGGATCCAATCAAATAAATCCCCAAAATAATCCATTTTATTGTAGTTTTAGGAAAATGATTTTTAACACTTTATCAAAGTAATATCCTCACTGAATTAGATGATTGAATTGGTGAGTTTTTCGTTTCATTCTGAGCGATATCCTCAGCGCGTATTCCGTGAAAAGAAAAGACAATGTAACCGTCTGGTATCAAGTAAGTATCGAGCAATATTAAAATCACTTACTTCGATTACATATCTTGTATTGTGGTGCGACCTACTTATAAGTAGTATATGACGTGAGTGTCAACCTAATGTCTGGCAGCAGAAGATGGGGGAAAATCAAGAAAGGAAGAGTTAGAAGAACACAATGGAATTTGTATGAAACGCATCATGAATAGTGACAATGGATTGATGTTTTGCAACAGGAACAGTCCAGTTCGATATGATGAACTGATATTTTGCAAATGAACAATTTACGATATGGTTTTCCGATTTTACTGAGTAACTCTGTAATTTTCATTAAATACAATTCGGTTGCCGTCACCTGTGTTCTCCTCCACTACAGTATATTATAAACATGTATAATACATATAACAATAGCTTCGTTTAAAAAAACAAAGACAACATACCTAAACAATTGTCCAATGATTGTAGAGTAGTGAAATTTTCATCAGATAACCAACATAATTGAGTGACATTTGTCCTTGTCATATTATCATTCAGAATATTTCTATTGATTAATTGATAGATTCTTTGACTACAATTTTGACTGTGACTCTTTTGAATATTAATTGATAGATTGAACAGAAAGAAAATTAACCAGTAGACACTTTTCCAATGAAATTTATTGACAGCAATAATGAACTGCATTCTTTAATCAATCATGATATTGATTTTTGTGCATACTGGATTCAGAAAACAGTATTGAAGTAGTTAGTATATAACTACCTTGAAAATGGAATAAATCAAATGAATCCGTCACAACTTATTAATTGTATAATTGATTAGCACAATTACTGTAAATTCAAACAAGAGAACATTGAATATTTGATTGTTTTATTTTTGGCGGAAAGTTTAAAAGTTATCAACAGTGAATCAGCACAACTTTATAAAGAATTAAACTTTATACTTTCAGTTCTGTCAATAGATTATGTAAAGTTATGTTGTTAAGTTTCGACCTTTACGTATACGTGTTAAGGTATACATCCCCAATTCCTGTGAATTCCTAACATTTACACAACCAACAAAACATAACATGTATGAAAGTAATTATTTCTGTTTCATCCCCCGTACACGATTTAATCCTATTTATCATAACTTTTTCAAAGAACTTCAGTAATAAATTACGATACTACTGCTCATCAGTGAGAACACAATCTCTTTTTAATGGGTTTAAATTCCTTATTTTTTTGTGTACAAATAAGTAGATCAAAGTACATGGAATCGTTTCTGAATAATAGTGCATCAGTGAATTGACTGCGTAAATTTCACGCGCGTTTTGTAGAATAACTAAAATCTAGTGAATACTCAATTAGTGTTCAGTCTTTGTGTTCAGATTGATGTATATTCATGTGAAAAATCGTCTTCTAAAATACACAAATATCTTTTCAATACCTACCATATTAGTTAGCATACGTTTATTGAAGTCTAATATGAAGCTTATAAATGGTTAGATTTATCAGAAATGCTTAGAAAATTCATCAGTTTCAAAACTTTAAATGACACGACGATTAGGTGAGTAATTAAATACTTAGATTTGTCTAAAGTTGGAGTAACAAAGGAACTTGACTTTATAGAATCGCTTTTGACATCATAATAAAGACGTTATTTCCTTACATAATCTGAAGCATTGACAAGTAAACGGGAAAATAATTCACTACTTGTTCCTTTATTCAAAACATAGAAGGTGTCTTTACAGTTTACCATACAAAATAAATTACTCCTTTGATCTTTGACTGGATTCCTATCAATAATAAGTAACTTATAACATAATTAATCAGATAATAGAATCTCTATTATTTATAACAGACAATGAATACAATCAGTAGCACTGGATGGCCATTTCGTCCTGATATGATGAATCCTTTACAAGGATGAAACAACTGTCCAGTGCTTCCAGGTTTCTAATGATGGTCTAATAATCATTGACTGATGATTTCAATGTGTACAAACCCTAATCTCCATAACTTCAATTGAAAACAATCAGTAGCGTCATATGGAAAGCCAAAGTTGTGACAGTGACATGAAAATTCCCTTATTATTGATAAATACATATCATAACGACAAAGAATATTTTGTTTCTCATTATGGCGGTTTGTAGCTTAAACAGTGTCCAACAAATTCTAGCTAGAAAGACGAAATCACTGTCAGATTTGTCAATTCAGTTCACTAAGACAGTTAATACTGGATAAGTATCAATCAGAGAAACGGTACCGTTCATCATACAGTGATTATCATACGACAGTGTTCATGAATATCTGAGAATGCTTGTTGATGAACAAAATAAGGTAATTTTCCAACGCTAAATACCAGATTTTATAGATGGTGGAGAAAACTTGTAGCTCAGGTGGATGATTGTGGCGGTGTTTCATTCTCTGAGCTGGATGTTTTGGTTGCGGAGCTTTCATTGTTCTTCTGAACAACATCATCAGCACAAACTTCAGATAAAAGTGAAGCATTCGAAGTTTGTGCTGATGATGTTGTTCAGAAGAACAATGAAAGCTCCACAACCAAAACAATCAGCTCAGAGAACGAAACACCACCACAATCATATTTTATGCCAATAACCTACTTAACATATAATAATATCATCAGTATCATTCAACAGACATTCAAAAGATACAAATGGATTATTCCAAATAAGTAGTCAATCCTACAAACAAAATGTTCAGAGGACCAGTTGATGAATAATTATTATTATCATAATGAAATAAGAATTTTAACAAATGACTATCAAATCTAAACTATGGGAAAATATTATTGCAAACTAATGAAAAGTTTTAATACAGATAAAACTCCGTCTTATGGCTTTCATAAAGAAGAAGTTCACTGTTGTGTATATATATATATATATATATATATATATATATATATATATATATCACATTTCAATTGAGTAGACCTGATTAATTAAATATATGGCAAAAACTCTACTTAGAATTGCTTGTATTGATTGCCACAGAATGTATTCAATAAATGATGTCGAAGCTAATCGATTGAAAAACTCATCACCATCATCATCTTAGTTTTACATAAAAGTGTTTTGAGAATAGGATCAGTAAGTATTTCCTTTGTTTGCTTTTTGACTATGCTTGCTTGAAACACTACAGATAAACAAGGACTCGCCTATTGATGTCCTTCCAAATCAATAGACATCAACATATCAATTTTGTGTATCAAACCACAAGCTTTTCATAAGCAAGAAATGTGTCTAACGACAAAGGTAACTAAAATATATCCAATATGATTTATTAAGTCTCTTCAGAGCATGTTATTCATTCACATATTGTATAACCTGATTTAACTGTATTGAACAAAACATTGTGAATACTTAGAACAAATGAACTTTACTTAAGTTTAAACAACTATCTGTGATGTCATTAACTTATTTGTAACTAGTTATTCACAGAGTTTTAGCTAATAGTTGTGACAACAAGCTAGACGGATTCTAATGTACTGGAACATTTTTAAACGATCTAAATGAACACTCCATTGTTGAATTTTTTACTGAGTAATTGAATCCCCATTTAGGAGCAAGTAATTCAACTATGTGGATTTTAAATTTCACCCTGTTAAATAACGAACAAAAGTAAATAGCTCCCTTTTTGTAAAGCAGTACATTTACGTAAATCTGTTTCTCACTATGACCAAATGCCTTGATAATGTCAGGAACCGTAGAAGAAAATAGCTAACAATGTCTGTGCTAAGTTTGTTCTCGTCGCGTTAACAATTATGAATAAGTATTAACTGTGTTACAGGTAATTGTACTTAATCCCGAATGATATTGTCAAACAAGTTCCTTAAAATATTGATTGTTAAACGAACTGATGAACATCAGAAAAATATCTATTAAATTGCATTCACTTCACAATGATTTAAATTGTCGTCATTTCAGTAATCTGTATTTCAAATCTATGATATTGTATTATCGTCTGTTGGTACTCCAAGTTTTGACATTCTAAATGTTATGATGTGAAGTAATTGATAAACTAAACTTAAAATATATGAGCAGGTAAATTAAGATCAGTTCTACGTTTGATAGTCCAATTTTTCGTTCCTGGATTCTCAGTAAAAACATCAGAAATACTTTGATTGTACTCAGCTAGAGGCTTATGAGTTAAATATGTATTTAACACCTATAAATTTATTTCAGTCTCTGATGAAAGCATGGAAAAACACTTCAACCAATAAAATCTGTAAATTTGTCGAATGCTTTTCCACATGTAAACTAAGTTAATTGAAGTGTATTCGTTCTTATTTATGCAACTGTCCACTCTTCAATGATCAATTTTAGTCTGATTGAAAATAAGAACATATCCTCAATCAAGTTGAGTCCTTTCATGTGACACAGTGATTCGTTCAGATATGATCACATATGAAAATATTGAATTCACTGAGGAATTATTAGTTAGGAGTTGCTTTATAGTAGTAACATTCATTCTAACCTTCTATCATTTTTTTCATATATGTAAGAGAGAATATTTGTAAAAATCTCAGCGACTAGAATTAAACAGTCTTATCGGTAGTAACTTCTATAGAGAAATAATTCAGATTCAAATAGCAAACGATAAATCAAGTCTAATCTGTGCTAAGCAAACAAGGATGACGAAATGCTTTACAGTGTAAATAAGAGATAATTAATCTGAACTCCGCTAATACTGTGGTCTGTAATGGTATGAATTCCACCCTAGAGCCCTTCTGGGGTAACTCCTAATGGCAAGACCGGATAAAGGGGAGGGGATTGAGAATGGCATTATCGATCACATCTCATAGAAAATCAACATACAACCAGAAAAAATAATGCTAGTCGGTGGCCTATGCTTCAGTAGGGGTAAGAGGCGTAAGTAAGTAAGTAAGTAACATGTAATGGTATATATATATATATATATATATATATATATATATATGTATATAACGACCATTATTATTATTAAACATTATTCACATTTAGTGACAATATGTTGCCTCAGATTCATTTTCTTAATAACATGAAGAGACACAACCTAATATGCTGGCTATACATCAGAATTACGCAATTTAAATCAGTAAGATTTTCACACAGAAATTGTCTTTCATAAAATTTTCCTAATAGCTGTGGTTGACCAATTGTTTAGCAAACTGTTCATCTTAAGTCTGAGGAAGATTCACTCATTCAAAATCATTTAACGTATTTATTCTTACATCATAAAATAACGCTCTTCCTTCAATGAACACATTTATATGAGTAAATATTGAGGCACGTTTTTTTCGTCTGAGTAACATTGATAAGCCTCCAACTATGCTGATGTTTAAACTGTATTTATGAATTTCGTTACTGAAGAAACTAATTGTCTTAACCCTATTTATTAATGAAAATTTCACCGAAAATAAAATTACTGACAGAATTTCCCGATAGTAATCCATGGTTGGTTTAATGGAAGATCAGTGCTAAATGTGGCCTAAATAATATTATTCTTTTTCACAAGTGATTGTTAATACAACTTTCGTCAATT